TACACACTTATACACACACACACACACGTACACATACACACATTAAAACAGACACGCACACATACACACACACACTTGTTGCGTCGGCGGCTAGGCAGAGTCACTACGCTGGCGGACAGGGCGTAGTAGGTCATACGAAACGCGGATTACACAGACACGCACACACGCACACACACACACACACACACACACACAAACACACACACACACACACACACACACGCATGCACACACACACACACAAGCACACACACACACACACACACGCACGCACGCACGCACGCACGCACGCACGCACACACACACACACACACACACACACACACACACACACACACACACACACACACACACACACACACACACACACACACACACACACACACACACACACACACACACACACACACACACACACACACACGCGCGCACGCGCGCGCGCACGCACGCACGCACGCACGAAGGGGGGAGGAGGCGGAAGAGGAGGAAGAGGAGACAATGAGGACGACGACGACGACGACGACGACGACGACGACGACGACCTGGAGAGGGAGAATGCGGATCCGGGATGGCTTGCCTGCGCCCGGGCGGCACAAACAGAGACGAAGAGAGGCTGCGGCTGCGCATCCCCGCGGCAGCCGGCGGGGAGAGCTTCAGGTGGCACTGCCTAATTAGGGGCGCCTCAGCCCCGCTGGTGGGAGACCAGAGGCCTGCTGCACCACCATCGTGCACTTCTCGAGGACAGGGCATCGAGCAGAGCGTCGAGGAGAGCGTCGAGCATCGAGCAGAGCGTCGAGGAGAGCGTCGAGGAGAGCGTCGAGCAGAGCGTCGAGGAGAGCGTCGAGGAGAGCGCTCGAGTAGCAGGGGGAGCATCGAGCAGAGCGTCGAGGAGAGCGCGGGCACGCGGGGGACGCGGGCGGGCGGGGCCCGGGCGGGCCCAGGCCTTGCTGGGGCTGCTTTCGGCTCGCCGCGCGCCCCAGCCGGCCGAGGCCACAGCGGGCGCAGAGGTACCTTGCCCGAAGGGGGGGGGGGAAGGGGAAGGGGGAAGGGGCAGGGAAGGGGAGGGGAAGGGGGAGGGGAAGGGGGAGGGGAAGGGAGAGGGGAAGGGGGGAGGGGAAGGGGGAGGGGAGGGGGAAGGGGAAGGGGGAGGGGACAGGGGAGGCGCGGGCCGAGGCTGGGGGGCGGGGGAGGTCACCCCCGCCACCGCCGGGCCACCGTCGGGCCGTCGGTGGCCCAGACCTCGCCAGCCGCCGGTCGCCAGCAGCAGCACCAGCAGCAGTGGCGGCAGGAGCGGCAGGAGCGGGGTCGGGAGGGGGGCGGAGAAGGAGAGCAGGGGTTCGAGGAGGGTGCAGGGGATGGAAGGATGAGAGGAATGAGAGGGAGGATCATCAGGAGGAAGGGTGAGGAATTTCAAGGGGGAACGGAGAGGAGTTGATGAAGAGGGGAGGATCCCTCCCTGCCTCCCCGCGGAGGAAAAGAAAGGAGCATGACAGAGGAAGGGGAAGGAAAGTGAGAGTGAGAGAAGAGAGAAAGAGAGAAAGAGAGAGAAGGGGAGGAGGAGAAACAACTCTCGAGTGGTAAAGGAGGAGGAAGAGGAGGACCTTTCAAAAAGTCCAGACTATTGAGGCAGTCTCCTGGGCCCCAGTTAAAAAAATGCACCTGGTCATATCAGCGTGGCTTAGCCGAGCCTAGTGTGGCTCAGCTCAGCCTGAGATCTAGCTCTGGGCCTTGCAACCCCGTCCAGCGTCTTCTCCAGCCTAGCTTGGAGCACCCTTGGCCCTAGCCTAGCATTGTTCAGCTTGACTTTAGGGGCAACGACTGTATGACGCAGCTTTCCGTGGCGTGGTGTAGCTTTGCCGAGCCGAGCGTAGCAGAGCATAGCCGAGCGTAGCTTCACCCAGCACAGCTTGGCCTAGCTTTGCCCAGCCTGGCCTAGCCTGCATGCTGTGTTAACTTGTTGGCCTGTTTGGAGAAGCTTAGCTGAGCTGGACTCAGCTAATGTTAGCTTCGCCGCTGCTGGCTCATTATCCGCCACCGAGCAGTAGGCACTGAGTGGAGTGTCCTGAGGTACCTTCAAATTCTCTGGATGGAATACTGTAAACAATATGCTAGGGCCCAGGGCCCAGAGTTCCAGGCGCTTCTGGGGCGTGGCGCATGATATTTATCCAAGTCAGAAACCGTTGGAAACCGTTGGCTTGTTCAATAAGTTCGGACCTGGTGGTGGGAACACGAACTGGCTCCGGGAGCCATCTACTGCCAGGATGGCCCCCAAGACAGCCAAGAGGCCCCCAAGAGGCCCCCAGAGACGCCCAACCCGTGGTTGCCTCCAAGAGGCCACCAGGAGACGGCCCCAAAAGGACCCCAAGAGTCCCCCAAGCGGCTCGCAAAGAGACCACAAGAGGCACCCAAGAGGACCCTGGGCCCAGCAGTGGCGGTATGGGCCGAAGGCCAGTAGACAGTTTCACTGGGGTCTTCGCGCGCTTCCCGCGCGCTCAAATTCTATCCATCTTGGAGACTCGCGCATGACGCGGAAGACCGACCGTGCCAGCATGATCGGGAGAAGGGGTAAATGGAAGAGGAGGAGGAGGAGGAGGAGGAGGAGGAGGAGGAGGAGGGCGCGGGGAGGAGGGCAGGCGGTGGGAGGAGGGAGGAGGCAGGAGAGAGGAACCCCAACAACCTGCAACCCTTGAAGGGCGCCAAAACACCCTGATGCGCCCCCCTGCCCCGCCCCCACCAGTGGCTCCCAAGAGATGCCGAAAGACCTTTCGAAAGGCACCGAAAAGGCCACCGAGAGGCGTCGCGAACCCCGCCGTCTTAGCAGCTCCTGGAGCCTCCAGGAGAGGCCCGCACAATCGTGGTCCTCGGTAGAACGAAGCTCGAAGCCCAGCCCACCCAACCCTCGCCCAAGGGCAGGAGCTCAGGTGCTCACGTATACCAAAAAAATGTGGCGTCGCTTTTATTATGCGAATCGCTCGGTTTCGCATCTCCTCTGATAGCGTCGTGTGGCAGCCCAAGTTTGCTCAGCCCTAGCCTGGTCGCTCCTCACTTGGCTTGTCAGAGCGTCTCCATCTTTTCGGCCTACCCTGAACTTGCCGAGCTCGGACTGGTGTTGCTTTGCGTGCCTTCACGTAGCTGGGTTTCGTTTGGCCTGATTTAGATATGGCCTTGACTCTAGTGAGAGCTTCGGAGTCCGATATTGCTTCAGCTTCAGATTCAGAGTCAGCTTCAGACTTAGACGAAGCGTTTGGCGTAGTGGGCCGCGCTTGCCAAGATGCTCCACAAGATCGACCTCCTCCTGAATCTCCCCATCCTCCTCCATTGCGCTCCCCCTCTCCCCAACTTCCCACATGTCCATTCCGATCCATTCATTTGCAAGGCCTAGATTACTCCTGTGACAGCAGCATGCTCGTGGTAGGTGAACTGGAAATGGCCCGGCCCGCTTCGTCAAGGATTATTGCCTCAGCTGTGAAGGAATAAACCGAAATGTTCATAGAAGTACCCCGATATCACCAATGGCCCGGTAGTCCTCGAATCGCCCATGGTGGACACGTGTTGTATAACCCATGCTGCTGCTGAGCCCTGACCTGCCCAAGTACCGCCGTCACTACGCATCAAGACATTACCAGCATAGGCGCCGAGATTGGCCGAACAAATTTGGAAGCACGACCGCCTTTCGTCCATAGTGTAATTTCCTCCGCTGCTTCCCCCTCCCAATTCCTGCCCTGTCGAGAAAATAGTCGAGACAGACGCAACCCCTTCCCCATGCGAATCGACAAAAAACATGAACGCTCCATACAGAAGAGCACATTGCGAGATGTGCAGCACTCGGGAATATTTTTTCGAACAACGTCGGGCCGCGTCCGTCGCATACATGCGCAACTCAGATCGCAAAAAAGGACGGCGACGACAAGCACAACAAGGCACATGGAACGGGGGGCAGAAGTCGAGGAGGAGGAGGAGGAGAAGGAGGAGAAGGAGGAGGAGGAGGAGGGGGGGGAAGGAGGACCAGGGGGATGGAGAAGGAAGGGGAAGAAAGACGGGTGGGAATAACAGCGCCATGCGCCACATCTGCCGTAGGCACCCTCGATGCTGCTGCGGGCGGCCAGCAGCTGAGGAGGTGGGGGGCAACATCGGCCGCCAAGGACAGAGCTACGCGCCACGTGGCGCTCCAGCGCTCTGTGCTCTGTAATGCAGAGCCGTGCTCTATCCCGCAGGGAGCAGAAGCCCACGGAAGTGGCGACAATTGCGCCCTTCGCAGCGCCCACGGAAGTGGCACCAGTTGCACAGTTCGCGGCCTCCCAGTAGGAAAGGTGGGCGGAAGGGAGGCGAGGAGGCAGGAGGCAGGAGAAGAGCGAGCCCCACAGCAGAAAAGGTAGAAGGAGGGATGGAAAGAGGAGGAGGAGAAGGAGAAGACGAAGGGAGAGGAAGAGGAGTGGGAGGAATGTTGGAGCAAAAGCAGTGTTCCATTCAAAACGAGGACCCAACCAGAGGGAGGGTTGGGAAAGACATGCGCCCATCGGCAGGAGGTCATGCTTGCCGCGAGCAACTCCCAGTGATGCCATCGCCCTTCCGCACTTGCATCGATACCTTCTCCGATTCCCCCTCATCCATGCCCCCGTTCCTCGCCGCCCCGCCCCCCCCCCCCACCCCCACGCACACACACACACACACACACACACACACACACACACACACACACACACACACACGCGCGCGCGCGCGCGCGCGCGCACGCACGCACGCACGCACGCACGCACGCACGCACACACACACACACACACACACACACACACGAACAGAAGCACGAGCACAAACACACACACACACACACACACACACACACACACGCACACACACACACACACACACACACACGAACAGAAGCACGAGCACACACACACACACACACACACACACACACACAACGAACAAACACCACACACACACGCGCGCGCACACACGCAACAAAACGCGCCCACACACACAGCCCAACCCACCCCTTAGCCCAGCGACGGGCACCAGTTGCACGTGCCGCACTCCTGTACGCTCTCGCCTTCGATGACATCCTTCCCGCAGGAGTCGCACCTCTGGACTGGTGAAGTGGCGAAGGAGGAGAAGGAGGAAGCGATGAGAGAGGGGAGGGGAGAGGGAGAGTGATTTGGAGGGGGGAGATGAGCGAGAGGGGTAACGGGAGCGTCTAGATAAAGAGGTGCGCAAATGAAGTCACCGCATATCTATCAGATCAGGAACTTGAAAGGAACGCTCCTTGAGAGAAAGACCATCGAAACCTAAGTGCTTGAACGTCAGCCACATGGGTCCTCGCTGCATAGCTACGTGATACCGAAGGCCGAAATCCAGTCTTCAAGGCCTCGCGAATAGTGCTAAACAGCAGCCTGCAAAAGAAGCGTGGGCTCTTGCAGAACGCGGTACGAACCAGGTACCAACTCCCACGCTCAAGAGTCGAAAGATCCTTTCCACCTGTTGATGTACTGCAGTAGGGATGCAAAGTCATTCCAAGCCACTTGAAGCGAAATATTATTATGCCCCAGCGCCTTCCTTTGCTTTGGGACAAAGAAACGGATATGACAGCTGACGCGGCTCTCTACTTTTCTCTTTTCCTCTGGGCTCTCTACTTGGTGTTCCTTCTCTTTCTTTCATGGTCCCAAGAGGGCCCCTTAGGGTTCCAAGAGGGCCCCAAGAGGCGCCCAAGGGGCTCCAAGAAAACCCCCAAGAGACTTCCGAAGCGGTCTCAAAGAGGCCCTCAAGAGGCCTCAAGAGCCTCTCCCCTCCCAGAGGCAGCCAAGACGCTTCAAGAGGCTCCCGGGACTGCCGAGAGACGCCCAAGACGCCCGAAGAGGCCTCCAAGAAGCGACCAAGAAGGGCCCCGAGAGCCCCAAAAGGCGATTTTGACAGTCCCAAAGGAGGAGGCTAAAATCCCACCAGCCCTTTAGGGCGTGAGTGGTTTCGATACCTCCCTCTTCCAACCCCCTTCTTACTCTTCGGTACCCCCGTACCCCCCTCCCCCTGGACCTGGACGGGGCCTTTCGCGAGCTGTCAGAGCGTCCAAGATGGCCCAAGATGACTCCACGAAGGCCCCAAAGAGCTAAAGATGGCCTCCAAGATTGCTGAAGATGCCCAGCATGGCCAAAGATAGCTTGCAGCAGACCTCCAAGAGGCTTCAAGATCCATCTAAGGCGGCTCTAAGTGGCCAAAGGGCCTTCCAAGGACGCCCTGGAGGAGGCCAACAACCGTCCAACACCTAATAGAAATCAATGTGTTTGTTTACCTCCTCGCCTTTTCAATGGGCTTCTAAAGCCTCGAGATGGCCCCGAGATGAACCCAGAGATCCCCAAGAGGAGCCCAAGAGAGGCCCAAGAGGGCCCCAAGAGCGCCCAAGACCGCCCCAAGAACGTCCCAAGAGAGCTCCAAGAGGCGATTTTGAGGGTTCCGACGGGGGGATCCAGATTGACGCCGCCTTCCTTCTTGGTCGATGGCCTCCGAGATGGCCCAAGAAAGGCCCAAGAGGGGCCCCAGATGGCTCCAAGATGGCTTCAAGAGCGCCCTAAAAAGCCTCCAAGGGGTACAAACCTGTCTAAAACCTTCACTCGCCGGCCCAACGGGCCAGAGGCGTGAAGGGCCAAATGCAATGCAAAAAAACTGCAAACAAAAATGCAATGCACAAAATGTAGAAAACAACAAGTAAATGGAGAAAAAATGCAATGCAACAAAATGTGTGCAAAGAAATGCAATGCCACATAACTGAAAAAACTGCAGTGCAAAAAACTGTAATTCTGATCATGGTCGTTGGCGCCGTGGGCTACAAACCCTCCCTGGACCTCCCCAAACCGCTCTCGCCTCGCACGCGGAATCCAAAGCTGAACCTAGAACGGCAAAACTGCAATGTAAAAAATCTGCAAACAAAAAGACCTGCAATGCCAAAAAATATGTTTGTTTGAATAATGTTCGTTGGCGCCGTGGGCTTCAAACCCTCCTTGGACCTCCCCAAACCGTTCTCGCCTCGTACGCGGAATCCAAAGCTGAAGCTAGAGCGGCAAAGCTGCAATGCAAAAAAAACTGCAATGCCAAAAAAACTGAAGTGCAAAGGCACCTGTAATTCTGATCATGGTGGTTGGCGCCATGGGCTTCAGACCCTCCCTGGACCTCCCAAACCGCTCTCGCCTCGCACGCGTCTCGCCTCGCCTCGCACGCGGAATCCACAGCTGGAGCTTAAGCTCAAGCTTCAGCCTCTCGTTCTGATGCTTGGCGCCCCGCCGTGCGCTACAACGGCCAAGAACTCTCTTGCACGCGCTCGAGCCTCGCAATCAGGACGAGATCGGCTGGGGTGGCGAAACCGCCCGAAACCACGAGTGCGAGGGCCCCGGAAGCTTGCAGGAGCACCGCTGCGAGAGAGCCCCCGTGCCCTCCTGCCCTCCCGTGGACGGGCCAGGCCTGGGCCAACGGCCGGCCACGCAGGGGCTCGGGTGAAAGCGGAAGCAGGGGGGAAGCGCGCGGGCGACTCCGCGCGGCTCCCAAACACGGGCCGGCCAGATTGAAGGGGCCCCAGGACACACAAATAAATACACACAAATAAAATTATTCCCCATATTTTCTGGGGTTCTGTCTTCCCCCCCACTTCCCATATTTTTCCATATTTTCCTGGGAGTCGACGATTAATTGTGTCTGTGTGTTTTTTCCCCTCCTGACAGATGGAGTCAGAGTGGACTGGCGGACCCAAGCCAGCGCTGCATCCCCGTCGTCTGCGCCCCGATGCACTCCGATTGGTCTTGGGGGCCCATCTCTCGGGCCTCGCGAGCGGCCGTTCGGGACGATCCTGGCCTCCCCGGAGCGGTCTCGACGAGGCGCAGCTGGCAAAGACCACCCTGGTCCTCATTCTGCTCCTCCTCCTGCTCCTCCTCCTCCCCCTCCCCCTCCTCCTCCTCCTCCTCCTCCTGCTCCTCCTCCTCCTCCTCCTCCTCCTCCTCCTCCTCCTCCTCCTCCTCCTCCTCCTCGCTCCTCGCTCCTCCTCCTCCCTGGCACGGAAAGTGCCCGGAAGCTTCCGAATTTCTCGTCGGCGCAGGCCTCCGACGACGGGATGCTGCTCACCCCGCGGGCCCCCGGAGTGCTGGACCTTTTCCCCCGCACCGGCTTCTCCTCGTGAGCCGCGTGCTGGCTGGCACGGGGGCCCCGTCAGGGCCCTGAGAGGCTGCAAAAACTGGCCAGAAACAACAAGCAAAAGTGCCGTCGTGAGGTTTTTGGCTCGCACCGCGAAGAGACGCGAGCCTCCGTTTGCCCGCGCCCCGACCCCCCGAGCCGCCCCGACCCCCCGCGCTCACCTCCCCTCGGCGAGCACAATGGGTGCGGTTTGCGAAGGGTGCGGTTTGCCTCCCGTCTGATGTGCCCCTCCCGCCCCCCGGAAACGGATGACACCGTCACTCCATGCGACCGAATCACATGACACCGTCGCTCCGTCTCATACAGTGGAGCACACATCGAAGATGACAGTGTCGCTCGAAACGACGATAACCGGGAGCGGCCAAGAGGGGGGTGTCCAAGAGGGGGGGGTGCAAATCATGACCGGCGGCATGTGCGCGGCCCAGCGGGGGGGCCAGGGACGTAATGAAACAAGAAGAGGCGCCATGAAATCTGGGGAAATCTCATGGCCCCCGCCATGATATCCACCCCCCCCTAGTCATCACCGTCACCCCCCTCTTTTCCGCCCCCGAGATAATTATGACATTGTCTCTCACAGAGGCCCCGGAAAGGCCGCCACGAAGCGACTCGCAGACCGCACCCCGGCGTCACCGCACCGATTGTAGTCGCCGATGTCCCTGGCCGCCGGCGAGGGGGGCCGCCGAGCGGCGGCCTGCCGGGCTTCGCCTGCACCGGCAGCAGCTCGTGGCCCATGGGGCAGCGCGAGGCCGGGGGCACCGTCGGGGCGTCCGCGGCGCTCTCCTCGAGGAGACGGCCAAAGACGACGGCGACGACGACGGCGACGACGACGACGACGACGACGACGACGACGACGACGGCGACGACGGACGGCGACGACGGACGTCGACGACGACGACGACGGCGACGACGGCGACGGCGACGGCGACGGCGACGGCGACGGCGACGGCGACGGCGGCGACGGCGACGGCGACAATAGCGACGACGAGGACGAGGACGAGGACGAGAACGAGGACGAGGACGGCGACGGCGACGAGGAGGATGTCGGCGACGATGACAATGCCAGCGCGCCAGGCAGAGCGGGCTCGCGAAACAAATCGAAGGCCGAAGGCGGAAAAAGAGGTGGGCGGGAGTGAAGAGAGGAGCGTGATGGGGATGCTAGAGGGTAGGAGGACCATCATCATCATCATCACCACCACCACCACCACCACCACCACCACCATCATCATCATCATCATCATCATCATCATCATCATCATCACAGTCATCCTCCAGCATCATCATCATCATCATCATCATCATCATCATCATCATCATCATCATCATCATCATCATCATCATCATCATCATCATCATCATCATCTTCATCTTCATCTTCATCTTCATGTTCATCTTCATCTTGATAATCATCATCACCATCATCAGCATCATCGGCATCATCAGCATCATCATCGCCCTCCTCCCCGTCCTCCTTCTCCTCCTCCGCCTCCTTCTCCTCCTACTCGTCCTACCCGTCCTCCTACTCATCCTCCTTTCCTCTGGCTCCTCACCCCACACCACCAGATAGTCGTGCGGCGCTAGATGGCGCTACTCCCCCGCTGCGATTCCGCACTGTGATCTCGGCGGCCACGCGCCCAGTGTCGCGGCGGTCACAGTGTGGGTCAGGCGAGCTGCAAGCGAAGCGGGAAAGAAAGACCAGGAGAGGCAGCGGCCAGGCTGACTACCTACCAGACCACCCCAACCCAACCCGAAGACCCGAATTTGACCCGAATTTCGGGTTGGGGGGGGTACGGATACCATGTGTTTTTTCAACGTTCCCCGACCCCCCCCCCACTGGAAATCGAGGATAAATCTGAGCCTTCGGGTTGGGTTGGGGTGGTTTGGTGGGTGGTGACAGGCGGGCCAGGAGTTCACACAGTCCACCGTCCACAGCACCTCGCGGCGGCGGTCCTCTCCAGCATGCGTGAGCGCAGGACTCCGGCACTCGACGTGAACGGCGCCCGGAGAGGCGAGCGGCAGGAGCACGAGGGCCAAGGGTGTCCTTCTCAGATCGGCGGCTGTCCCCCCAAGGAATAGCCAACCGCGGCCTCGCTCCTCCTCCTCCTCCTCCTCCTCCTCCTCCTCCTCCTCCTCCCCCTCCTCCTCCTCCTCCTCCTCCTCCTCCTCCTCCTCCTCCTCCTCCTCCTCCTCCCTCCCGATGCTGGCCTCCAACAGCTAGGTTCTGACGTCATCGGTGACAGGGAGCCACCTCTGCGGCACAGGCCTTCGGAATGGAGGAGAGCGGTGCCCCCGAGTCCTCCTGGAGGGACCCCCACTGCTCGGGAGGGCCTCTCGGGTTCGCTGTGCGACGGGGGTCGGGGCAGGAATCGACAGGTGGGGGGCGGGGTAGGCCATCCAGGGTGGGGGGCCGAGAGCCTTCGCGAGCAGGAGCTGTGGAAGCTCTGGTGGCCAGATCCAAGGCACTTGTGACCGCGGCCCCCCTCCGCCAGGCATGCGCCCAGATCTCGCGGCTCCTGCAGGGTCATGACCGTGACCTCGGAGAGGGGGAGAGGGGGGAGAGGGGGAGAGGGGGAAAAGAATAGAGGCGAGCCAGCGGAAAGAGGAGTGATAGAGAGACGGGGGCAAAAGCTGGGTGAGCTCGTATCGGGGTCTGGCCAAACCCTGCGAGAGGTGGTGGAAGAAGGACAGGAAAGAGGAGGCGGATCAGCTGATGGCTTGGCTCGGGCTCCCGCTCCCACACCCGCACGTCCCCCTGCGAGGCTGCTGGCGTTTGGCTCGCTGCGCTTGTTTGCGAGGCACCACTCGAAGAAGCTCGCGAAAAGCAGCAGCAGCAGCAGCAGCAGCAGCAGCAGCAGAAGGTCACTATGGGCGAGCTTCGTGGCGCAAGGGAAACAACAGCCGAGAGATGGGGTGGCAGCAAGGCGACGCCGAGCCAGGCCCATCGCGCACTCGGGGTAGTACTGCTAATGCCAATTATGTTTCGGACCCGATGATCTGCAACCGCGCGCGAACAGCGGTAGCCTGCGTCACAGGTGGCCAGATCCACGATTGGAATGCTCGATCGTAGGCCACCCTGTGAACGTATCCTGAGGAGACGCTTGGCTACTAATCAACACCCTTGCATCTCACGCGTGCCTTTGTCTATCATGTTCGGTGGTCGTGCGACCCCTATGTGACACCAGCATCTGGTTCCAGAGCCTTCTGTCGATGCAAGAAAATGTCGAGACAGAAGCGCTTGTGAAGCCCCCCAACTCGAGGCATGATAAGGCAACCACGCCGTTGAGCTGCAGCGGCAGGAAGCGGTCGCCGACCCTGCCGGCGCTGCTTTGGAAGCAGGCAAGGGATGCCTTCCCATGGCGGGCCATGACTGCTCGTTAATGTGTGACGGACTCCAGCGGGGCCAGAGAAGCGCAGTGGGGCAAAGGGCAGGGGGGAGGGAGAAGGAGGGAGGAGCCACATCAGGAATACGAAACACATCTAAACCCGTTCGGCGTCCGAGCCCATTCGGCCGCCGAATGGGCTCGATCTTGAGTCCAACATGCGACTGGATAAGCTCAGACACCAAATCGGCTAAGAAGAGAAGCCATAGGGTCAACTCGCGCCGAGGGGGGGGGCAATCGAAGGCCAGAGACAAATTATCTAAGGCTCTCGCGGACCCCTGCGTCTGAGGAACAATCCTCCTGCTTCTTTCCTCTTCCCCTCTCGTTCTCCTCCTCCTGCCCCCGTCCACTTGCCACCCTCCTCGATCTCATCCGACCCTTCCTTTATAAATATAGCTCCTCCCTGTCGCACACCCAAATGTGCCACTAGGGCAGGCAAGGATTTCGCCTGAGACATCCTCGTGATCTTTGATTCCAAAGCTTGATACTCGCAACAGCTACCAGGATGGAGGGAGAATCCCGCTTACTGGGGGTGCAATAGCGTGTGAAACCCTTGGCAGTCCCCCTCCCCTCCCCTGGATCCCAGATCCCGTTTAAGGGGGGTCGAGCTCCCTGGTGCACCTCCCTGGCCCTCGGAGCCTCCAAATCCATCCACCGCGACCTCCAAGATACCCCAGACTTCGTCGAAGACGGCTCCAGGAGGGCTCCAACGCTCTGCAACGGCCTCGAGAACATCTAAGATGGCCTCAGGGCGGCCCAGGAGGCCCGGAAGACGTCCAAAGAGAGCCCACAACGACCCCCAAGACGGCCTCAAGAGACAAAAATCACTCAATGATTTCCGCATTCCCGCCGTTTCAAGAGGTCCTCGGCCGAGAGGCCCACCAGGTTGGCCACAGACGGCCGAGGAGACCGGAGATCGCCCGAGAGGGCCCCAAGACCGCCCAAGAGGCCCCCGCGAAGGCCAAAAAGGCCCTCAACAGGGCCCCAAGAGGGCCTGTGGAGGCCCCCTACAGGGCCCCAAGGGCCAGGGAGGCCCTAGAGGTAGAACTCGAAAGGGCCCCAAGAGGGGCTGGGGAGGCCCTAGAGGTAGAACTCGGAAGGACCCTCAACAGGGCCCCTAGAGGGGCTGGGGAGGCCCTGGAGATAGAACTCGAAAGGGCCCCGGGAGCCATCCCCCACAAGAGACCCGCAAGGCACCCTGCAGCTTTGAGAAGACTCCCAACAGGCCGCCCCCGAGGCCTCCAAGAGACCCCCCACGAAGCACCCGAAACGGACGCGGACGGAGAAGGGGACAGACCAGAAACAACCTACCCACAGGCAGCACGACGAGACGCGGCATACGGCGCATACGAAGTCGAGCCGCACGTTTCCCCTTGTGGGGGGTCGGCAGAACGACGCACGCCTCTCGAGTAAAACTGGAGGACGGCTCCTTGCCGAGGCGGGGCCCTCTCGCTCGAGTCTTCTTCTGCACTTTAGAGACCAGAACCGACAGAACGACGCACGCCTCTCGAGTAAGACTGGAGGACGGCTCCCTGCCGAGGCGGGGCTCTCTCGCTCGAGTCTTCGCGTTCGCCCCCTCGAGGCCGGAGGCCCCTCCACGCGCCGCAGAGGCTGCACACGAGTGGCGGCGCGTGGCTCGGCACAGGGGCCCCCGCTTTTTCAGACTGCCCCGAAGCTCGGGATCCGCAGGCGTGAGCCCGTGCAGCACCCGCACCACGGACGTGGGGCGGGCGGCCCATTCTCTCCGAAGAGCGGGGACGTCGCGTGAGGCCTCGCGGAACCGCAGGATCACACCTCCTCGCGTTCCCGACTACGGCAGGTTCGTGTCGTGCCGACCCCAGCGTTGGTTCTTGACACCGCAGGGATCGTTCACCCTTGAACGATCGGCCGTTTCCGCAACGTCCAAATCGTTCCACATCGAACGATTCTGGGTCGCCCGCGGTGTTCAACGTTGAACGCCGGCAGCGGGGTCGCCGCCGGTCGACACGACACAAACCTGCCGTACACGCCAGGGGGATGCAGGACAGCCGAAGTCCGAAACCGGGCCATCGTCTGAATGGCAGGCCCATGGGGCGATGGTTGTTCAGGGGGGGCGTCTCTTCGAGCGAGAGCGCAAGGCTGTAGGGACTCCTGCGGAGGGGACCTGCAAAGGGAGGGTCGATTGAGCATCGCTGGTGCGTCTTGGGTTTGCTCTGAATTTCCTTGTTCGTATCATATCATCCACCTCCTCCTTCTCCTCCTCCTCATCATCATCACCATCACCATCACCATCAGCATCACCACCATCATCATCAGCAGCATCATCATTATCATCATCGGCATCCTCATCATTATGACCATCACCCCCACCACCATTACCAACAGTATCATCATCATCATCGTCATCATCATCAGCAGTAGCAGCAGCATCATCACAGTCATCATCCAGCATCATCATCATCATCATCATCATCATCATCATCATCATCATCATCATCATCATCATCATCATCATCATCAGCATCATCGTCACACTGCTACTGACTTCTCCTGCTTTTTCACAAACACACACACCTCCTCCCTCACGTGGCAAAAGCTTGCCCTCCTCCCTCCTGCGGCACTCCAGGAACTCCTTGTCCTCCCCGTCCTCATCCCGCCACTCTTCGTGGGCCCCTCTGCGTTATACATGCCTCCCCCTCATCGCGCCCACAAACGCGCCAGCACGGCGCGCTGCCCGGTGTGCGTGTTCGCCCGAGACCTCCGCAACCCCCCCATGCCCGTGAGGCTTGCCCGACGTCAACGGTCACACGGGTAACGGCGGCCCGTTTCGCAGAGTGCGGCTCCCGCTTTTTAAGCGACGCACACGGCACAGTCCTTTTTGAGAGCTTCGAGCACCTACAGAGATCGGGTGCTGCCAGAAGGACCCCTGGCCCAAGGTATCCCCCAGGATTCTCGGGGTGGCCCAGACGGCCTCCAGGGCACCCCTCACGAGGCCCATGAGGGCCCCAGGTGCTCAAAAATGGAGCGAAAAGCTGGGGGCACCTTGGGCCAGGGGCACTTCTAGCAACACCCGAAAAGATGGAAGGCAGGTGGCTTTCAGAATATGATTCTCACCTCAGCGCCGAACAGATCCGCCTTAGCAGTTTCCGACAGCGGCCAGGATGGAGGGAGGGCGATGCTCAAATGTGGCTCTGGCCTCAGCGCGGCGCACATTCGTCTTGGCAGCTTCCCATGACTGCAAAGATGGAGGCGGCCCATGTTCAACATGTTGTTATCGCTTTACCGCGGCGCAGGTTTGCCTTAAAAGCCTCCAACGGCTACAAATATCAAGGGCGGCTCCTTTTCAAAATCTGGTTCTCTCCTGATTTCCTCTGAGTTCACGACTTTAAGTGAACCATATGATAGAGGTACGATCGGGAACGTTTCTTCGGCATGTTGCGGCGGCGGCCCCAGCGACACGCTATGCCCTGCAAGCGGATAGCGTGTCGCTCCTCTCCGCGGGGCGGGGCGCTTGGAAAGTCTCAGAAAGGTGACGCTTGCGGACCAGGATGTGGTTTATCGTGTCGGGGCCAAGCACGGTGGACCAGAACTGGCAGCGCGATACGCTGAACAAAAAAGTTAATGCCCGCCTCCCTCTGGATGGCGGCCCCTTTTACAAATGGGGGCTTCGCTTGAGAATTCTTCATGACCTTGTATGGGCGAGGAGGAGGACGGACGGATCGCAACAATCTGACAAACGACCCCCCCAGTCAGCTTGAAAACGCGGGACACGAATTGGGGCATGGGACAAGCTCGCTCTACGAGAGCAAGCCGTTACGCGCACATCGACCCCGCTGCACAGAGCCCCCTGCTTCCAGCAAAAACCAGTGTGCAGGGACGGGATGCGCCAGACCGAACACAAGAGAAAGACGAGGCAAGCGGGAGGGGGCAGCGGGAGCGTAGAGCAGAAAGCTAGAAGCCCATACGTAAGCAATGGGGTGGTGCACCGGAACATGCCAAGGCCGGGAGGCCACGGCCGTGAGTGTACACGAGACGTGAGGAGAGGGACGGGCTGAGCAGATGCGCAGGAAGCCCACTCGGTCCGGTGCAGGCCAAACTCGCGGCGGGCCCCCCCGAAGCCGGCACGACCGAGGGGCCTCCACGCACGACCAGTGCAGACGGGACGGCGCCAGTGCTCTAACGCGGACGCGGCCCCCAGGGGCCGCACGCCTCGCCCCGCCACCACGAGGAGAGAAGGAGGGGTGCGCCCGACCGCCCGCCGACCCCCACCCACTGACGCCCCCCCCCCCCTGGAAGCTCATTCTGATCGCCGGGAGACCGACAGTCCGGCGCCCCCCTTTCCGGCGCACTCCCTGAAGAACGCCCCGGCGTGTCCTGGGAGCGTCCTGGAGGACGTCCTGAAGTGACCTGGCGGGTGACCCCCCCCCCCCTCCCCCTCCAACGCACTTCCCCGTTGGAGGAGTATTCCGACCGTGCGACTGACCGCCTCTCGCTCACAGGCATCCTGCGGCGCTGCCAAGCTCGAGTTGGTCGCAGGCTCGTCATTGAAGCTCGCCGGCACATTTCGCGCCACTCGGAAAAGATCCAGTGCTAGCAGAGCATGGCGCCTTGCGCCTTCGCCATGCCTGAGGTTGCCCAACACACCTAATTGTATGATCCTTGGCACGCGTGTCTCTTTTTGTTACCTTCACGGTTCCTCCACCTCCTCCTTCCTCATCCTCCTCCTCATTCCTCCTTCTCCTCCTCCTCCTCCTCATCCTCCTCCTCATCCTACTAATCCTCCTCCTCCTAATCATTAGCAGCAGCAACAACAGCAGCCGCAGAATCAGCATCAGCATCATCATCGTCAGCAGCAGCAGCATCACCACCACCACTACCACCACCACCGTCATCACCACCACCACCATCATCAGTATCATCAGCAGCATCAACATCAGCAGCATCATAATCATCATCATCAGCATCATCATCAAAATCATCATCAGCAGCAGCAACATCCTCATCATCAGCATCATCATGACAAGCATCGATATCATCATCGTCATCATCATCATCATCATCATCATCATCATCATCATCATCATCAGTATCATCATCGTCAGCATCATTATCACTACCACCACCACCACCACCACCGTTCATCATCATCACCATCATCATAATAATCAGCATCAGCATCATCAGCAGCATCACGATCGTCACCACCACCATTACCACCAGTAGCATCATCATCAGCAGCAGCATCAGCATCCTCCTCATCATCACAGTCATCATCATCATGATCTGCATTATCATCATCATCAGCATCATCACCAGCATCGTTACCACCATCATCATCATTATCATCATGATCAGCATAATCATCATCTGCATCATCATTATCAGCATCATCATCATCATCGTCATCATCATCATCATCATCACAACCACCACCATTCATCATCAGCATCACCATCATCAGCAGTATCATAATCATCATCAGCAGCATCATCAGCATCACCATCATCATCAGCATCATCATCAGCAGCATCAGCATCATCGTCGCCCCAATCATAAATATCATACTTAGTATCAGTATTAGCACTATCATCATTGTTATCAATATTATGATAATCCTCCTCCTCCTCCTCCTCCTCCTACTCCTCCTCCAGTCCTGCTCCTTACAAATAACTCATCCCTGTCGCACCCCGAGGCCAGTCGGAAGGGCGGGCCGGGCGTCTCGCCTGAGAGTTCCTTACCATTTACGATCATGGAGCTTTGAAATTGGCAACAGGTTCACAAATGGAAGGCGGGTGGTTTTCAAAACGTGGCTCTCGCCCCAGCGCCATGCAGATTCGTTTCAAAAACTTGCAAGAGCTTCGCGGGTTGAGGGCGGGTCGTTTTCAAAATGAGGCTCTCGCCCTAGCGCCGCGCACATTCGTTTGAAAAATTGCACGAGCTTCACGGATTGAGGGCGATTCCTTTTCAAAGTGTGACTCTCGCATTAGCACCGCGCACATTCGCTAAAAATGTAAGTGTTTCACTGGTTCCCAGGGTTCACGTACCAGACATGGAGTGTCAGGGCGCAACAGTTTCGTTGATTCGCGGTGGTGACGTCCTAGGAACGGCGTTCTGGCACGATTCAGGATCGTCAAATCGCAACAGTCAGGCTGATTCGTGGCGCTGAAGTCCCGAGAACTGGTGTTCTGGCACGTTTCAAGATCTTCAAACGGTTGTCTCCCAACGGGGTACTCCCCTTCAGTGGAAATGAGTCCTTCTAGGGGCGTATGAAGAGGGATCCTGGAGGGAGGGTTCATTCCAACATCGTTGATGAGTCGTGGGTTTACACTGGTCCTCCTGCCCAACTCCCTCGGCCTTGTCTGACTTCAACCCAAACGACTGCCTATTCGACGGCCGAGTGAGCCCAGACGCTGGAAGGGCTCAAAAAATAAACCCTGGAAACCCACGTGGAAAGACCACCCCTTTGTCGTCTATCCACATTGGCGATGACACGTGGGCCCCACCCCTGCAGGTCTGATGTCTTACGTATCCACGGGAAAACAGGACTTGAAGGGGGTCTCGACAAAATATACCCCTGCGGCGAAGGCTGATACCACAGCGCCCGTCATACCCGCACGGGCATCTCTGAGCACAGGCTTGCAGATTTCCGTGAAGAGGGCCAGTAGGCCCGTCCTCTCGCACGGGGCCTCGATCCGCCGAGGCTTCCCCGAAAGTCCAGACCCACCTCGAAGGCAGGGCGTCCTGCGGCTGAGCTGAGCTGTACGGTGGCAAGAGCGGTTCTCTCCGGCGTGGTCAGGCAACCCCTTGATGACCGGGAGGAGGGAGGAGAAGAAAGTCAAAGCGGAGAAAGAGGAAGAGGGGGAGTGGGGGGAGGAGGAAAAGGAGGCTGAGGGTGAGGGCCAGAGGGTTTCCTGTAAGTCCGGTGGGGTCCTCGGAGGTTATGGAAGGCTCTCGGACGAATTGCGGGGGCTGCTGGATGCCGAGAGGAGCAGCAGGACCGATTCCCCAACGCCCCGCCCCGTGACTGCTTTAGAGGTAGGGGCATGTGGATTTATCTGCCCTCCGCAGCTCCTGATCCATCCGCCGCTCTCTTCGACGCCCTCGACGGTGGTAAACCACTCGGCCAGCTTCTCCCCATCCTTGTCATCTAGATCTTTACTCTTCCTGGATCGGGGAGGAGGACAAAAGGCAAATGGACGGGAGGGGAAGGAATGAATGGGGAGGGGTGGAGAACGAGAGAGAGAGAGAGAGAGTAGAGAGAGAGAGAGAGTGAGAGAGAGAGGGAGGGAGAGAAAGACACACAGAGGAAGAGAACGAGAGAGAGGGAGTGCGCGCGAGTTCGGGCGACGATGCGTCCACGCGCCCACTGTACAAGTCACCACCCCGCATACGCAGCACGTTCGATCGCTGCAAGGGCGCTAAAGACGGTCGAAGGGCATAGCTCCCACACAGAGCACAGGCGCTGCCCGCCCGCGACACGCAGGACCCCACCCCCCGCAACGATGCGAAGCGATGGACCGAGAAGCTCCTGGCAACATGGCCAACGGGCCGAATGGCCGAGCGCAGGCCGGAAAGGCGGCGGCATCTTCCCTGCAGAGGCGCGCGCGGGCGGGAGCACGGGGCTGCGGGCGGGCATGGCCAGCGACCGCCTTTCTGGCGCAAGCGGCGCGCTCAGTTCCCCCGCGAGACTTCTGCTCCAGCGGGGTGCCCGAAGTGCGCCGACGGAGTCCCGGAGGCCAGATCGCGAGCCCGCAGCGGAAGCAGTGAGCTCGCAGTGAAGTGCCCCGGGCGTTCCGGGCGGCTGCTCTGCCGAGCGCAGCCTGGTTGACACTGGCACCGCGGTGGCCCCACTGGTCGCCCTGGCCGCGGGGCCTCGGCGGCCGGCAGCGCGCACAGGCGGCCTGCGGGCGGCCAAGCGCACGGCGGCGGTGCGAAGCATGTTCGGGGTGGCCGCGGCAGCGGGCGCTGGCCCGTCGCCGGCGCAGTCGGCGCCAGCCCAGGCCCGCCAGGATGCTGCCCGTCGGCAGCCAGCGGGTCCCCGAGGCCCAGCGGGTCGCTCCGAGCAGGTCGGCCTCCACGATCGCCTTGGTCGAGTGGGCCCTGCGCGCGTGGCTGGGCCCCCGTCGCCCGAGCTCGAGGCACCCCCGGGCCGCTCTGGCGCGGCCTGCGCGGCGGCGAGCGCCGCCCGCGAGTGCCAGGCGAGGCGGCACGGCGGCGGCTGGGCTCGTGAGCGGAGGCCGTGGACAGAGAGCGCCGTGAAGTGACGTCACCGCGGCCAGTCTGCGTCGCCGCCTGCCTGCGGCTGCCAGCTCTCGGGGGTAGTCGCGATTGGCGATGGCCGCGGCGGCCAGCTCGCCCACCCTCCAGTCGAGATGCTTCCTCGCCAGAATGGCTGGCCATGGCCGCGGCGGCCAGCTCGCCCACCCTCCAGTCGAGATGCTTCCTCGCCAGACTGGCTGGCCACTCCTCAGCCAGGACGACGTCGGCGCCCTGGACCTGAACGACCCAGAGGATCTGGAGCCACACGTTCGCGCGCTGGCGAAGCACCCAAAGAAACCAAACCGCCTGCCACCACCCAGACGTCCGCGTAGACGCAGGCGGGCTCCCCAGCTACCGCGACGAGGTGCCAGAGCGCCCAGGTCTGCGCGCGCTGAGCGTTCTGGACGACGCCAGAAATGCGGCCCGAGATGCTGTGCCAGCGGCTGGGCCCGCAGCACGCGCCGCAGGCTGCGGGGGCGAGCAACGGGCGGGCCTGGCCGGCGCAGGCCCCGTCTGCAGCGGCGTAAATCCAGCAACAACCTGCACTGGTGTCTAAACAGCCGCAAAACTCATCTGGGCGCCGTCGTCATGCGGGGGAGGGCACGGTCGCGGCTGCACTAGGCACTGCGCCAGGGGTGCCTGCAGGTTGGGGAGGCCAGGGCCCTCCTCGAACAGGCCGCAAGATCTCGTGTGGGACGACAACCGGTCCCACTCCTTTGGTGGGCAGCGGCAGGCGAACGCGGTGCGCTGGCGAGTCCAGCACCGGCAGTGCCGGACGGCGCGCTCCTGACCTAGGCATCCTCGGCCTGGTCGCACCTACCACAGAGCTTGGAGGCGTCGGTCCACATCCCGCCCACCACCCGCGCTGCTGCGCGCGGCGGCCTCCGCCAGTCAGAAGTTGACCAGCAGGGTGCATTTCCACCGCGTCGACTCGCCCGTTGCGCCCTTGGCACTGGCGTGGGCGAGCCGCGCGACGGCGCCCAGGCCTTGCTGGACCTCGGCCAGGGAGCCTGGGCGTCGGCGGCTGCGGTGCAGACGCTGAGCGCCGGGGATCTCCCCGCTTTTGCCTCATCGTCGGATGCGAACGGCAGCCGCGCGATTCCCGGGAGGCGGGTCGCGGCGGCGCTGGCCGGACCGACCGCGGCCGCCGCCAAATTGAGCTCCTCCCTCGCGGGCGAGGAGACCACGCTCAGGCGCCTGCCGACCAGCTTGATCGTGTGCTGAGCACGGAGCGGCGCTCCGTGAAGCTGGAACTGCAAGACCTCGCGGTATCGCCATTGATGGCCCAGCTCGCCACCTATCCCGTTCCCGCGACGGCACCCGGAAGCCCGCGCGCCGCTGGAGCCGCGGAGCTGCTGTCGCCAGCGAACGCGGCGCTCGGGCTGCGCTGGACAAACCTGATCTGCATGTTTAGGGGAACAAAAAAAGTGACATAAACATAAAAGCTCGGAGGTCCGCGCGGATTTCTCGGATCGGCGCTGGGGCCCCCCGGCGGCGCCTCGGGCGCCGCCCCTGGCGCGCTCCGCGCGCCAGGGAGGGGGGTCCAGCGCCGATCCGAGATCCGCGCGGACCTCCGAGTTTTCATGTTTATGTCATTCTTTGTTCCCCTAATGTTGGCCCAGACGCACACGAGGAGCTAGGAGGAGTCGGCTTGCAGGGGGGGTCGGGCGCGCGGGAGGCGGGCGGAGGCGTCGCCGGCGCCCTGCGCCCCCAGGGGGCTCCATGTTGGACTTCCAGGGCTGCGCAGGGCGCGACGCGCGTCACTCGCCCGCGCGCTCACTTTCAGTGAACCGCGTCTAGCTCCTCGGAGGAGCTAGACGTGTCAGGGGGACGTAAGACCTGGGTACAGAAGACTCGGAAATCCCCGACGCGGTCGTCAAAAAAATGACGAGGCCGAGCCTGCATTTTGACGAGGCCTTCCGCTGCAGACATCCCACGAAACTCCTCCTCGTCAACATCCGAGTCGCGGTCGTCAACAAAACGATGGCGAACCCGAGTCCTGGCAAACCCAGGTCTTACGCTCCCCTGAGACTGAAGGGGCCCTGGGACACACAAATAAATACACACAAATACAAATATTCGCCATATTTTCAACTATTTTCTGGGTTTTTGTCTTCCCCACCACTTCCCATATTTTCCATATTTTCTGGAGAATCGACGATTAATTGTGTCTGTGTGTTTCTTTTCCTCCTGAAGAGACGTGGTTCCCTGACCATGGCGTTCCGGGCGGGTGCCCGCCGGCGTGGCCGCCAGGCGAGGCGAGCGGGCCCCGCCCGTGCGGCCGGCACCCCCGCACGCCTCTCCGGCGGGAGGCCGCGGCCGGCCGGCCGCGGCGCGTCTGGCGGGCACCCCGCTGAAGGGGCCCAAGGACACACAAAGAAATACACACAAATAAAACTATTCGCCCTATTTTCCCAGATTTCCTGGGTTTCTGTCTTCCCCCCCCACTTCCCATATTTTCCCATATTTTCCCATATTTTCTGGAGAATCGGCGATTGATTGTGTCTGTGTGTGTGTGTGTGTCTTTTCCTCCTGAACCCCGCTGCGCGCCACGCCGAGTGGAAACAGGCGTCCGCTGCGCGGCCATCGAGACGCTCCTGCCTGCCCAGAGCCAGACTAGGGGGCCACACGCGAACCCCACCCCTACCCCCCCCACGACTTCTGAGGGGGAGGGTGGGGTTCGCTTCGCTCGGGAGCTCCCGAGCGAGGTGAGCCCCACCCTCCCCCTCAGCAATCGTGGGGGAGTAGGGGTAGGGTTCGCGTGTGGCCCCCTACGGACCCACCACTGGGAGCAGGGCCATCTGGGCGCGCCCGCCTTCCGTCCTGGACGGCGGCGCGCCGCACCGCCTCGAGGCTGCCGGCCCGCGCTCGGCCCGCCCGCCAGGGCCCCAGCGCCCGGGCCTCCATCGCGCACCTCCACGTGGGCACGCCCGACAGAAGGCACCGACTCGTGGGCACACTGTCACCTTTGCCCGCCCCCAGCGCCTGGCGGCGCTGCGCCTTAGCAAAGGCTTCCACGAGGGTGGATTCGTTTTTGCGCCGGACGCTAGGACACTCCGTACTGAGTCCGTCTGGCGAGACCAAGAAGCGGCAGCCGAGGTCGAAGGTGCTGCCGCACACTCCCGACTTGCCAGAGGGGGGCTGGCGTCGTGGGCGTGGGCACCCTGAAGATGGCATCCAAGCACTGCTTCCTTGCGACAGTACTGCGCCGCATCAAGCGCCGCGACGGCTCAGTGATGACTACCTGGGAGAAGTCGGTCTGGAAGACTAATTACCTGGATGACGTCGCGCAGCTTGTCGCACAGCGCCTGAATGGCCTGGTTTGCGTTTGCGTCTTTGCATGGCCGTTTAGCGTCCATCTGGCTGGCCCCTTCGCTGTGGGGAGTCACTTTCGCGCCGCCGACGGGGGCCGCCGCGCAGAACTTTCGCGCGCAGAGATTCTGGAGCTCTGCCGTCGTTGAGACGGCGTCGACTCCGTTGAAGGCGACGCGAGGCCACGCAACCGGATTCGCGAGGTCTAGCCGGACCTGGGTCACGGTCTGGAGGCAGCGAACCTCCTCGAAGCCGAGCTGGTAGACCACGCCATCAATGCGACTTGGATGCGGCTTGGCGTCCTTGGCTGCGCGTCGAAAAGGGGGGGGGGCCAAGACCGCGCGCATGCAGTGCGGGCTGGGCAGGTCCAAGACGCAGATAGCCAGTGCTGTCTTGGCGACGTATCTGGCACGATAGCGTCTCCACATCGGTGCGCGAGTCCTTCCGTGCGGGTGGGAGCTGCGGTCATATCCACTGAGCTGCATCGACCGCGACGCGTGCGGCAGGGACGGCGGTGGCAGTCCCGATGGAAGGGGCGGCAGCGGCGGCGTCGAGGCCCTTCGCTTTTTCGAAGTGCAGCTTCGTCCGGTGGACTGTGCTCTGCGCACGCGTCGCTGCGAAGATTAGTGCGGTCAGACCCATGCCCGTTGTTGACTACCTACCAGACCACCCCAACCCAACCCGAAGACCCGAATTTCGGGTTGGGGGGGGTAAGGGTTCCACTCGTGTTTTTGTCGATGTTTCCCGACCCCCCCCTCACTGGAAATCGAGGGTAAATCTGAGCCTTCGGGTTGGGTTGGGGTGGTTTGGTGGGTGGTGAGTTGTAGAACTAGTAATGAGACTAAGGGACCAAGGGCATTGTGGGCACGGTCGACGTAAGCCGCCAGCTGCACATCGGCACCGCCCTCGTGAATGCGGCGACGCGCGTGTCGCGACGGGACATCGCGGAGCTGCCCGGGGGCGGGGCGGCGCCGGGGGACAGCGCTGCCGGGGCGAGGTGAGCGGCATCCGGGGGGCACAGCGCCCGCCGCGAGAGAGAGAGAGCGAGAGAGAGCGAGAGAGAGCGAGAGAGAGAGAGGGAGAGAGAGGAAGGGTACTCCAGATTTCGTAATAAAGGGAGGGGGGTCTCATTTCGGGGGGGGTCTCTTCCAGGCTATCTTGGAGGGCCTGGGGGGTCTGGGGACGATGTTTTGGAGGGTTCTCCCACGGGGGAGGTATGAAATGGCTTGTCTTGGAGGGTCCAGACCCCCTCCCTTTTATTACGAAATCTGGGAGTAGCTGCTACGGTAAACTGACAAAATGCTGCACCATCTGGAGCTTGGGCGTCGCGTTTGCTAGTGGTGGTTGCCCCCCGCCCCCGAGTTCGCACTGGAGCTGCAAATGTTACCGACCGCCCCAGAAATTTTCCGCAGCGCCTTCCCCCTTGCCGCCGATACTGAATTAGGGGGCAGGGGGGACGAATGTAGAAGCATGCGTGCAAAGACCTGCCCAGACTGATGCAACTTCTTCGAAGGGGCCCTGCGACACACAAATCAATAGACACAAACAGAAGGATGCACCATACTTTCCCCATATGTTCTGGGATTTGTGTCTTCCCCCCCACTTCCCCTATCGTCGCATAGTTTCTGGGGAATCGACGATCCATTGTGTCTCTGTGCTTTCCTCCCTCCCGAACCTCTCGGGTCGGGCGAAAGGGGGGGATAGCAAAGGGGGGGGTTGAGAATCAGCTCACGCAGCTGATCTTCCCGGCGCCTCCCGGCGCCGGAGGCGGCCATGTATCGAGGAACGGGCCCCTCGGTGAGGCCGAAACCAGCTGCATGCAGCAAATTTCGTACCCCCCCCTTTCCCAAACCCCCCCTTTCGCCCGACCCGATCCTCCTCCTCCTCCTCCTCCTCCTCCTCCTCCTCCTCCTCCTCCTCCTCCTCCTCCTCCTCCTCCTCCTCCTCCTCCTCCTTTCGCCCGGCCCGAACCTCGTCGACGCACGGTAGCGGCGCTGGGCCGGGGTGGCCCGGCTCCGGGCTCGCCGTGCCGTGGGAGCGGAAGGCGGCGGGGGGGGGGGGGGGGGGGGGGGGCGAGCAGCGGCGGTGCGCTCGCGCTCCGCAGGGCCGCCCCGGCCGAGACGAGGGAGGGGAGGGGGGGGGGGGAAAGAGGGAGAGGGGAGGGGAGGGCGAGGGCGAGGGCGAGGGCGAAGGAGAGGGGAGGGGAGGGGGGGGGAGGGAAAGAGGGAGAGGGGGAGGGGAGGGGAGGGGAGGGAAAGAGAGAGGGGAGGACGAGGGAGGGGAGAGGGGAGGGGGGGGGGGAGAGAAAAAAAAGCACTCCTCACGCCAAGGCGTGGGCCCCCAGCACTGTACGCGCACGCCGCGGGAAGAGTGCGCGCGGGCACCAGGCAAAGGAGGAGAGGGACGGCGGCGGCGGCGGCGACGACGACGACGACGACGAGGAAGCGGAGGAGGACGGGCGGAGCCCCTCGGGCGCCTCCCCGCCTCGCCCGCCCTGGCCGGGCCATGGCGCCGCTCCTGTAGCCGAGCCCCTGGGTGCTGGCCCGCAACGCGCGGTTGTCGACCAGGTAGGCCTGCGGTGCCCGGTGCGGCTCGCGCTCGGAGGCCTGGCGCGCGGGCCGCCGCGGGGGCGCCGCACGGAGGGCGAGGCACGGCAGAGCAGGAGGGAGAGAGAGAGAGGATGGGCTCGGGAGCCTCTTCAGAGAGACGCCATGCCTCCCGAGCCCTGGAGGAAGGAGAGGCTGGCCGGCTTCGATTCCCCAATCTCTCCGAGCAGCGATACCGCCTCTGGAGACTGTCAGTCCTCCCCATACGAGCCAGCACAGAGAGCGTAAATGCCAATCCAGCTGGCGGCGCTCTTATTCCGACCGAAGGGCGGGCCGACAAAGAAACGCGGGCCAGGGACGAAACGGGGACGGCTGGCCAGGGCAGGATGATTACCCCAGGCAGGATGGCCAGGGCAGGACAGGGGGGCTGGCCAGGGCAGGATGATTACCCCTCAGAGTTCGGGGCCTAGCTCGCGCCACACCCATGGTTGTCTGTTGTGGCAGGCTGGACCCGCCGCCCCTCCCATTTACACGGGCGAGACATGTGGTAGACCACCTCTATGTAAACCACGAGGGAGGAGGAGAACTGAAGCCGAAACTGACTGCGGAGTGCGTGCGTGGAGCATGGACCGCTCCATGGCACGGCGGCGCTGCGCGCACGGACCCGCCGACTCGGACCCATACTCACGGAATAGCACCGTGTTCAAAACGCATGTCGCGCTCCTGTGTTCCGAACTGCTCTACTGTATGCATATCCACCACCACCGTGCCAGCACGACGCTTGGGGGTATTGGCATGTAGGGTTTCTGCAATTGAGTCCAGGGATCACCACCACCCCTACGAGCAAACCCAGGTATAAAATCACCCCCCTGGTGTTGCTCGCTGGCGCCCTGTTCGGCCTCCACATGGTTCAAACACGGCTGAAGAGCACCCACAATATAGCGGCAAGATGCCCCGAGACCAAGCCAGAGACGGTACGACAACCCCCATCAAAGGCTCCAAATGTTTCCAAGAGGCCCCAAGATGCTCAACGAAGCTCTGAAGAAACGTCCAAAGAGGCCTCCAGCGAGGTTCGAAGAGACTAAACACCATGAAGATTCGTATGTGTGTGATGCTTGCTTCCGAGGCTGCCCAGTTTCGGATCGCCTCGCCGCACGATGGCGCAAGATGGTCCAAATTGGCTCAAGACGGCATGCAGCATGCCCCCAAGAAGCTCCGAGACCGCTACAAGACGGCCCAGTATGGCCACAGAGCCTCACAGGGAGGAGGAGGAGGAGGAGGAGGAGGAGGAGGAGGAGGAGGAGGAGGAGGAGGAGGAGGAGGAGGAGGAGGGGGATCCCCTGGTGCCCAGAGGACGACTCCGAGGCAGAGGCCCTCCGAAGGCAACCATCAGTGATGCCCTGGGGCTGTTCTGCTTGCTTGCCACGCTCGCCGCTTCGAGCTTCCGGGTGCCTGCGACAGCCCACGAAGCCCCCCAGATGTCGCCCCAGGAGGGCCCCAGGCTGGCCCAGCACAGCCCTCAAGACAGCCCGAGAGACTCCCATGCGGGGCCCCCGGAGGAGAGGAGAACTCGAAAGGGGCCCAGGAGCCCTCCCCCACCGGGAGGGCCTCCAGGACCCCCCCCCGGCATGCCCTCAAAGAGAGCCTCAGGCGCCCCCGAAGGGGCCCCCGAGGAGATCCCCAAGACAGCCCCAAAACCACCCAGCAGGTCGACGGCGACGATAAAGGCGAATAGCCCAGGGGAGGCATTACACGTATTCGCCCGGGAGCCTTGTCGAAGACATAGATCATCGGCGCCCCTGGATACATGTGTTGCTCCCCCCTGGGCTATTCGCCCCTTTCGTCGCCTCTGAGCAGGGTCCCTTTTGAGCACGATGCTGGGTTGCCCAGATGGGCGCACGGCGCAGAGACGCTTCTGCGACAACGCCCCCCAGAAAGGAGGCATCCAGGGCTCCCAAGGGGGTCGGCGGTGCGGCATTAACCAGTGAACCCACGTCGGAGCTGCAGCGCAGCGTCTCGGCAGTCGAATGGACGGGTGTGTGACGCAAGGGCCAAGTCGCGATGCGCTAAGGAAGCCTCTACTTATGAAACATTGTCATATTATGATTTGTGAATCACTGTCCTATTATCATTTGCAATGCAACCCCCCCTTCATCCCACCCCCCTGGGCCGCCGCCAGGGTGTCGACCCGTTGCGGTCACTATTACAACTACCAGTTAAATTACCCAGGGGCGTACCCAACCCTTTGTACACATGAGGCGACTATACACTGGACCGCTCACTAAAAAAGCGAGCACTGAAGGATCCGCCGTGCCCTTGAACGATTCGCCAGAAAGCGTCGGGCCAGAGTCACATGTTCACACATGCGGCGTCGCTCTCAAGAGTCCGATCGTTGGCAGGAAGGCGGCTACGAGGGAGTGTGAAAACACAATGAGGAGAGACGAGTGGAGACATAATTCGTGGGAGCAGCGCCGCTGGACCCCCCACCGTCGCAACCCGGCCCCCCAAAGGCGGCGAAGTCTCATGGTGAGCTGCGTCAGACGCACCTCCGCTGGGCCTCCCAGAAGCCAACGAAAGTGGCGACAGCTTCGCAGACCGCAGCCCCCCAGGGACGGCGAGGTCTCGCGGTGGTCTGCGTAATACGCAACTCCGCTGGGCCTCCCAGGAGCCCACGAGAGTGACGACAACTTCGCAGATCGCAGCCCCCCAAGGACGGCGAGGTCTGATGGTGGTCCCCGTACGACACCATTCCGCTGGACCTCCCAGAAGCCCACGAAAGTGGCGACAGCTTCGCAGATCGCAGCCCCGCCAGGGACGGCGAGGTCTCGCGGTGATCTGGGTAAGACGCGCCTCCGCTGGGTCTCCCAGGAGCCCACGAGATTGACGACAGTTTCGCAGATCGCAGCCCCGCTAGGAGCGGCGAGGTCTCATGGTGGTCCCTGTAGGACACCCCTCTGCTGGACCTCCCGGGAGCGCACGAAAGTGGCGACAGTTTCGCAGATCGCACCCCCCCAGGGACGGCGAGGTCTCATGGTGGTCCCCGTAAGACACCCCCCCCTCGCTGGGCTTCCCAGAAGCCCACGCCCCTCCGCTGGACCTCCCAGGAGCCCACGATAGTGGCGACAAGTTCGCAGATCGCAACCCCCCCAGGGACGGACGGCGAGGTCTCATGGTGGTCCCCGTAAAACACCCTTTTCGTTGGACTTCCCAGGAGACCACGAAGGTTGCAGTAGTCTCGCAGATCGCAACCCCCCAAAGGTCGGCGAGGTCTGATGGTGGCCCCCGTAAGACACCCCTCAGCTGGACCCCCCAAGAGCCCACGAAACTGGCGACAGTTTCGCAGATCGCAACCCCCCAGGGACGGCGAGGTCTCATGCTGGTCCCCAGAAGACACCCTTCCGCTGGACCTCCCAGAAGCCCACGAAAGTAGCGACGGCTTCGTCGATCGAAACCCCCCAAGGGACGGCGATGTGTCATGGTGGTCCCCGTACCCTCCGCTGGACCTCCCAGGAGCCCACGAATGTGACGACAATTTCGCAGATCGCAGCCCCCCAAGAGACGGCGAGGTCTCGTGGTGGTCCCCGTAAGGCACCCTTCCGCTGGACCTCCCAGGAGCCCGCGAAAGTGGCGACAGCTTCGCAGACCGCAGCCCCCAGGGACGGCGAGGTCTCATGGTGGTCCCCGTGAGACACCCCTCCGCTGGGCCTCCAAGAAGCCCACGACAGCGGCGACTGTTTCGCCATCGCAGCTCCCTAGGGACGACGAGGTTTCATGGTGATCCCCGTAAGACACCCCTCCGCTGGGCCTCCCAGGAGCCAACGAAATTGGCGACAGCTTCGCAGATCGCAGCCCCGAAAACGAGGAGGAGAAAGTAGGGAGGAAGGACGAGGGGGGAGGACTGAATGATGGAGACCCTGGAGACCACGGTGCTCTACTCAAAACGAAAAACCAACCAAGGGACTGTTGGGAATAATTGCCCAGGGGCGTGCCCAACCATTTGTACACATGAGGCGACCGCAGATCGGACCGTTCAATACAGACGCAAGCACTGAAAGAGCTCGTTCACACGGCAGCCATTATCCGCAGGCATCAATCTTCTTTTCAATCAAGAGTAACAGCGCATCGCGTTGGGTTATCGTTGCAGAACAGCGCCACGCGCGCTATGACAGAACAGCGCCCTGCGCTGAGCGCTGCAAGTGCCCGGACAAGGGGCAACTGAAGAGTCGACGGCATGGGTACCTGATAGCGCCGTGCGCTCCGTGGCGCCAAATCCCGCTGCGATCTGCGATCAAACAGCGCAAAGAGGTCTCATGGTGGTCCCCGTGGGACACCCCTCCGCTGGGCCTCCCAGGAGCCCACGAAAGCGGCGACAGCCTCACAGATCGCAGCCCCCCAGGGACGGCGAGGTCCCGTGATGATCTGCGTAAGAAGCACCTCCACCGGCCCTCTCAGAAGCCCACGAAAGCGGCGACATCTTCGAAGATCGCAACCCCAAATGGGGACGACGAGATCTCGTGGTGATCTGCGTGGGAAGGTCCCCCCTCTGGGCCTCCGAAAAATCAACGAAAACTGAGACACCTTCGCAGATCGCACCCCCCCAGTGGACGGCGAGGTCTCGTAGTGATCTGAGTAGGACGCACCCCCGCTGGGTCTCCCAGGAGCCCTCGCAAGTGGCGACAGCCTCGCAGATCGCAGCCCCTCAGGGGACGGCGAGGTCCCGTGGTGATCTGCGTGGGACGCACCTCCGCTGGACCTCGCAAAAGCCTTCGAATGTGGCAACAATTTCGCAAATCGCAGCCTCCCAAGGGACCGCGAGGTCGCGTGGTGATCTGCGTGCGCCGCACCTCGGCTGACCCTCCCAAGAGTCTACGAAAGTGGCGACAGCCTCGCAGATCGCAGCCCCCCACGGGACGGCGAGGTCTCGTGGTGATATGCGTGGCAAGTACATCCGCTGGCCCTGTTAGAAGCCCAGGAAAGTGGCGACAGCTTCGCAGATCAAAGCCCCCCGAGGGACGGCGAGGTCTCGTGGTGATCTGCGTGGGACGCACTCCGCTGGCCCTCCCAGAAACCCACGACAGCGGCGACAATTTCACATATCGCAGCCCCCCAACAGACGGCGAGGTCTCGTGGTGATCTGCGCGAGACTGGACCTCGCAGACGCCCTCGAAAGTGGCGAGAATTCCGCAGATCGCAGCCTCCGTCGGAACCGCGAGGTCGCGTGGTGATCTGCGTGCGACGCGCCTCCGCTGGCCTTCCCAGAAGCCCACGAAAGCGGCGACAGTTTCGCAAATCGCACCCCCCCAAGGAGAATGAGGTCACGAGGCAGGGAAGAGACGCAAGAACACCAGGAGGAGGAGAATGAGGATGAGGATGAGGATGAGGGGAGGAGGAAGAGGAGGAGGAAGAGGAGGAGGAGGAGGAGGAGGAGGAGGAGGAGGAGGAGGAGGAGGAGGAGGAGGAGGGGGGGAGGAAGGGGAGGAGAAGGACGATGTGGGGTCAGACAGCGCTCTATTCAAAACGAGTACCCAACACAGGAGGGCTGAGGGAAAAAAACATAAGAAATGAATGATTTAGACCTCTGCTCAAAACGTCTCCATGGCGGCTCCACACGGCTCCAAGACGGCCTAAGATCCCAAGATGGCCCCAAGAGGGTCCAAGACTCCCCCCCAACATGGCTCCAGAAGGCCCCAGGGGGGGCCCTCCAAGAACGCCCTTAAAGCCAAGATCAACGATTTCCCTTTAGTTTTTTACCCGACTCCAGCGTTCTCAAATTTCGACTCTCGGAAATCGATGACGGCCGAAGCAGCCTCGAAGATGGCCCCCACGCGGCCCAAGAGGGCCCCAAGACGTCCCAAGAACGCACCAAGGCCCCCAAGACGGTCCAAGAAGCCCTCCAGACGGCCTAGGAAGACCCCCAGAGAGCCCCAAGGCGGCCCCGAAGAGGCCCCCAAGATGGCCCCCGAAAGAGCCTGACGGCGCAAGAGCGCCCCGAAACGGCCCACGACGTCCACAGGAGGCCCCAAAAGGTGCCCCCAGGCCCCAGGAGGCCCCCAAGAAGCCTCCAAGAGGCCCTCCAGAGGCTCCCCCCCTGGATCCCCACGACAAAACCTTGGCGCGGACGCCAGACGGCCCGGCGCGTCGCACCGCGACGACGCGTGCGGCGCTCGACCCTGGCCGCGCGCAGCGGTGCCCCGAGCCGACGGCGGCTCGGGAACACGCCTGCGTCGCCAGCCTAGCCGAGCGCCCAGTGCGACCGCCGAGGGAGCGGCGGGCGGGCACAAGCCGCACCGCAGGTGCCCCTCGCCGAACGCGGCGGGACACCCCCCCAAGCCAAGCGCGCGCGGCGCCCCTCCCAACCCTGGGCGGCGCACGCGCCCCCTCGCGCGCTCGCCCATGCGAGCAGCGCGGACTGCGCGACGCCTCGCGCCCACCGCTTGGGCCCGCGTCGCCCCGCGCCGCCGCGCGACGCGCCCCCCTTTCGCCGGGGGCTGGGGCGGGGGCGCCCGCCCCGATCGCAATCAACGTTGCACAGTGATCGCCCGCCACAAAACCTGGCGCGGACGCCAAACGGCAAGGCGCGTCGCACCGCGACGATAGATCCGGCGCTCGACCCTCGCCGCGCGCAGCGATGCCCCGAGCCGACGGCGGCTCTGGCACTCGCCTGCGTCGCCGACCCAGCCGAGCGCCCAGTGCGAACGCCCGCTGCCACGGAGCGCCCGGCACTCGGCGGGCGGCCCAGCCGCGCGCGCCACGCGCGCGCAGGCGCAGACCCAATGCACCGCGCGCCGCAGGAGCGCTAGCGCGCGCGCAACAGCAGGCTTGAAGCCCAGTCTCTGTCCCTCACGCATCACCGTCGGAACAGCAATTGCCCCCTGCCTCGAGAGGAGCGTCACGCTCGAAAGACTCCACGGGCAGATGCTCAACAAAGGCAGCGCCGCGCCAACCGCCCGCGCGAAGTACTCCGGCCAGGCCGGCCCTGCGCTCGACTAAGTCGAGCGCGCGCCCGCGGCGAAGTGCCTTTGCGTCGAATTCCCCCAGGCGAGCCGCGCCTGCCGCCCCGGTCGCAATTCGGATGGCGGCCGCAACATCAGCGGGGGAGAAGCTTGCTAAGGCCTGCGTGCCCACGCCCGCTTTCTCGAAGAATGCGCCGAGGACGCGCGCTGGGCACGCGCTTTTGCCGCCGTCAGTGCGGCGCCAGCACTTGCGCCGAAGTGCAACGGGCCGCTCCGAATTCTTGCGCCGCTGCAAAATCCAACCTAACGCCTCCGTTGAGAGGCGCGCCGATGCCCGGTGCTGCACGCTGGATACCGAGCCATCGAAGACGGCGGGCAAGTCCCCACTTGGCAGGCGCAGCAGACATGCATACCCGAAACACACGAGCATCGCCACGCCCCTTCTGACCGATGCTGCCACCGGGCCCGAAATGCTCGCTTCGACGGTTATGGAAAGGAGGGCGTGCTGCACAGAACGTTTGACTCTCGGGGGCGGGGGGCACCTCTTCGCGATGTCCAGTCGCGCCCGCCTCACGGATCGATCACCGAAGGCGGCCGTCGACACCGACGGCAGCTCGAACGCCGCGCACCAGTGCCCACCATAATTCGCGAACGCGCCGCTCACGCGGAACAACGCACCTGCCACCTGGAGGTCCTCGGCGGAGATGAGAAATGGGGAACCCCGGCCAAGGGCGCATCTTGAGACCCGCAACCACCATCGCACTGCGGAGGCCCAGCACTGCACTGACCGAGGACAGCCGCCAAACGCCGCATCCGAGCGCGCCCTCGTAGAGAAGCGCTGGCGCTCGGGCGGGCCAATGACTGCGGCGCCGTCGAGGGCGCGCCGCGGCCCCTCGCTGGGCGCCAACTGGTCTGCGCATGAAACAGCATACTCGACCACGGCCTCGACCGCTCCCCGAGCTCTCGAGCCCTTCGCAAGATCGCCGCGCGCGTCGCTTGGGCACAACGCCGCGCACAACTGCTCCGGCGCCGTCGCGCCATCCGCGCCCCAAGGCCTCGGCCGCCAGCCAGACGGCGGCCCTGGCCGAGGCCGCGGGCGCACAGCGACGCTTGCGCCAGTGCCAGCGGGCAGAGGGCTGGAGGGAGGACGTGGCCCTAGGCGACCCTGCTTTCCGGCGCGCGCCGCCGGGGCCCGGCGGCAGGGGGTCGCGCGGGCGGCGCCGCTTTTGCCTCGCACCACCGCTTGCACCCACCGAAGGAGAAACCCTCGACAGCCGGCATGCCCTTCTGAATCTTCGCTTCGTTGATGGCCCTGCGCGCGGCCACAACGCGCGGCGGCGAACGGCCCGCGGGCGCGCCGCCTGGCCGCAATTTCGCCGCCGCGCGGTGATAATTGAGGCCAACTGAAGTCGGCATCGACGTCTGCCAGATGCTTCCAGCGAAGCACATCCTGCGATTTTAGATACGCGACCAGCTCGGCGAAGAAGGCAAACGGCTGACGCTGCAAATCGCACACACAAAGCCAATGGGTGAAGATCGTCGCGTCCGACATCCCGGGGAGCGTCTGCGCGCGGCCGCGCGCTGCGGGGTTCGCGAGGGAACGCGCGCGACGCGCCTCGCGAGCGCCCAACCGCGGCTACCCAGCGGGCCCAAGAAAAGCGACTCACACGCGCTCAACCGCGGAAACCAACGGGCCCACCAGGCACGCCTCACGCGCGCGCGACTGCAACCACCAGTGGACCCAGAAAACACGCCTCACACGCGCTCAACCGCGGCCACCTGCGAGCCCACGAGACAAGCCTCACATGCGCTCAACCGCGGCCACCAGCGGGCCCAAGAGACACGCCTCACACGCGCCCAAATGCAGCCACCAGTGGGCCCAGGAGACACGCCTCACGCGCGCCCAACCGCGGCCACCAGTGCGCCCAAGAGACACGCCCCACAATTGCTCAAATGCGGCCACCAGTGGGCCCAGAAAACACGCCTCACACGCGCTCAACCGCGGCCACCAGTAGTGGGCCCAAGAGAAATGCCTCACACTTGCTCAACTGCGGCCACCAGTGGCCCACGAGACAAGCCTCACACGCGCTCAACCGCGGCCACCAGTGGGCCCAAGAGGCACGCCTCACGCGCGCCCAAATGCGGCAACCATTGGGCCCAGGAGACGCTTCACACGCGCTCAACCGCGGCCGCCAGCGGGCCCTAGAGACGCGCCTCACACGCGCCCAAATGCGGCCACCAGGTGGGCCCAGGAGACACGCCTCACACGCGCTCAACCGCGGCCACCAGTGGGCCCAGGAGAAACGCCTCACACGCGCTGAGGCCACCAGTGGGCCCATGAGACACGCCTCACACGTGCTCAACCGCGGCCACCAGTGGGCCCAGGAGACACGCCTCACGCGCGCTCAACCGCGGCCACCAGCGGGCCCAGGAGACACGCCTCACACGCGCTCAACCGCGGCCACCCAGTGGGCCCAAGAGGCACGCCTCACACGCACCCAAATGTGGCCACCAGTGGGCCCAGGAGACAAGCCTCACACGCGCTCAACCGCGGCCACCAGTGGGCCCAAGAGACACGCCTCACACGCGCTCAAATGCGGCCACCAGTGGGCCCAGGAGACACGCCTCACACGCGCTCAACCGCGGCCACCAGTGGGCCCAAGAGACACGCCTCACACGTGCCCAAATGCGGCCACCATTGGGCCCAGGAGACACGCCTCACACGTGCTCAACCACGGCCACCAGTGGGCCCAACAGACACGCCTCACACGTGCTCAAGTGTGGCCACCAGTGGGTCCAGGAGACACACATCACGCGCGCGCAAACGCGGCCACCAGTGGACACGCGCCTCACGACGGTGGCTCGGGCACTCGCCTGCGTCGCCGGCCTAGCCGAGCGCCCAGCGCGAACACCCCAAGCCGATTGGCCGCCAAGGGAGCGGTGGGCGGCAGAAAGCCGCACCGCAGGTGCCCTTCGCCGAACGCGGCGGGACACACACCCCAGCCCCGAGCGTGCGTGGCGCCCCTCCCAACCCTGGGCGGCGCACACGCCCCCTCGCGCGCCCGCCCATGCAAGCAGGGCGGACTGCGCGACGCCTCGCGCCCATCGCTTGGGCTCGCGTCGCCCCGCGCCGCTGCGCGTCGCGCGGCGCCCCCTCCCTTTCGCCCAAGCATGGGGGCGGGGGTGGGGGCGCCCGCCCTGCTGTTTCGTGACCGCGATCAACGTTGCACGATGATCGCCCGCAACGACTGGACTGTACGTTGTCTGGACATACACCCCGCGAAGCGAAAAGAATCACGTCGAATGCCTCAGATGATTGAATCAAATTTGCCTTCTCGCCTTTCGCTTCCAACGGGCCCCTGAGACTTCCGAGATGGCCCATGATGGTCCAAGAGAGCCCCAAAATAGGCCCGGAACAGCCCCAAGAGGGCACCGAAGGTCCCGAGAGCACCCTAGGAGCGTCCCAAGACAATTCCAGGAAATTGATCTGACTTCAGAAAGGATGGCGGATGGCTTAAAAATGGGACCACCGTTTTGGCCGATGTACCTCACGATAGCCCCGAGAGGGCCGCGAAGGCTCCCGAGAAGCCTCCAAGATGGCTTCAAGAGGCCTTCAAGAGCTGGGTCATTGTTGGGGACTGCCCGAGCATTCCCCAGCTTCGCTCCAATAACGATATCCCGCTACAGGGGAATCTTTTCTGGACGGGCTGGTGCGGATTTGCAGAACGTCAATATGGCGGACCCCTGGCGGGCGAGCCTGCGAGCGCTGGCTGGTCTGGCAATCTAGGCCGCGTAAGAATGGCAGGTTAAAGGAGAAAGGCAGGAGATAGGTTAGCAGGCGATGGTGAAGAAGAATGGGGGAGCTCGCGTATCCACACCAGTCAGGGATTCTCTGGTCTCCTCCTCTTGAGCCTCTTTTCGGCCCCAAAACGGCTCAGGAAGGCCCCCAGACGGCATAGGAGAGCTCCAAGACAACCCTCGTGAGCCCCAACATGGCTCCAAGATGGCCGCCGCACTAGTCGTGGCATTTCTTGCCAAATTTTGGCATGTTCGCCCTCTCGAATTTCCAGGACGGCCCAAGAGGCGCCCAAGAGCTCTCCAGGACAGCCCAGAAGGCGCTGAAGATGGCACCGAGAGAGCCCCAGGAGGGCCTGAGAGGGCCACGATGCACCGCAAGAGAGCCCAAGACAGCCCTATAGGGGCCCGAGAGAGCCCCCAAACGCCCCCTGACGGCCCCGACGCACGCCAGAATGCCACCATTGCGGGCCAGTTTCCCACGGGGGGCCGTGGCACCCGCCCTGCGGGCTTAACAATCAAAGATGAGTAATACGTGCGCGCGCGAGCAAGAGGAGGATGAGGATGATGATGATGATGAGGAGGAGGAGGAGGACGAGGAGGATGAGGAGGAAGAGACGGATGAGAGGAGCGGGAGGATGAGGAGGAGGAAGAGGAGGAGGACGACGGCGACGCGGAAAACAAGAGCATGGCGACGAATGGATCGATGCGGCAATGGCACGCAGATCTCCAGACCACTGCCTCCATGATGCCTATGCTTGCAACGCCCTGAGGTACGGGGTCAACCCTAGAAGCGCTGTCCATATTTCCCATTCTGCTCCTCCTACTCCACCTGCTCCTCCTCCCCCTCACCCTCGCCCTCCCCACCTCCCCCTCCTCCTCCTCCCCCTCCTCCTCCCCCTCCTCCTCCTCCTCCTCCTCCTCCTCCTCCTCCTCCTCATCCATCTCCTTTGCCTCATCCTTCCCATTCACCTCAGCATCGTCCTCTCCTCCTCTGTTTCCTCAGCCTCCTCCTCCTCCTCCTCGTCCTCTTCCCTTCCCTCCTTTTCATTATCCTCCTCCTCCTGCCCGGAGTAGCAGACCCGCTCGTGGAGCAAGACCTTCCAACCCCCATCCGGTTAAGGTCCATCGCCCCGCGCCTCTTCGGGGTCTTGGGGGGGCCAGGAGGATGATGCGTAACAGTGAAAACAAGGCAGCCCCATGCGACTGTGACGGAGACTTGCGAGTCGTGACCTGCACCGCCCTGACCTACGACTGGTAAGTAGGCTGAATGGCTCAACCCTGAGAACCACAGGCGAGGTCGAGGAGGAAGGAGGAAAGTCCCAGAGGAGGAGGGAGAGGGAAGATCCACGAGGAAGATTAAGAAGAAGGAAGGACGGAGGAAACCCGACGTCGTGACTTTCCCAGAACGTGGACCACTGGAGATCTCGACCCTGTCCCCCGGACCAGCTGTTCGTCCAGTGCCGATGTTTCGACGGTCTCCGGGCCCGGCGGCGAGGGCCTCCAAAGGCTGAAGGTGGCCAAAACCCTTCCGTCGCGTCTCGTGCCACGACGCGATGGGATCCGCGGAGGAGGGAGGCGGGCCCCAGCCCATCCTGGTCCGTCGCCTCGCCCAGCGGCAACGGGGCCGAGACGGTCATCTCGCAGGCAGGCAGCCCGACACGGCGCCCGCCTCCATCCTGCTCGCCCGCACGCGAGGCGGAAGGGGGAGCCACTCCCTGAGCCAGCGCAGCGTCGTGACCCAGATCGCAAGGTTTTCGGCAATCTGTCGTCATCTGGGGCCCTCACTGAGTCCGTGATGCGCCTCTGGAAAGCGCTCGAGTTTCCTCCCGGGAGCTTTTGACGGCTCCTTGGATGCATGATGATCTTCCACGGGCCTCTCATACCGCCTTGGGATTATCTTGGAGGCCCTTCCATCGAAAAAACTTCTCAGACAGCCGCGTGCCCGCAAAGCCGAAGCACGGCAGGCCCCCCAGATGGGAAAACCCGCACACAAAAAAATCATGCCGTGGCGACGCGAAGGCTATCGTGGGGCCCTGTCGGGAACATTTTGGACGCCTCCTGGACCCTCTGGGGGCCCCCTCGGGGCCCTGTTGGTGCCTTCTTGTGGAGTCTCGGGGCCCTCTCAGGGCTGAAATCGGGCTCTCTTGGCACGCCGCGGGGCCCGAGAAGTTCAAAGGAACCCGCAAAGGCAAGACTGCAAACAAAACAAGTTTACACAACAAACAAACAACAAACACACACACACAAACAAACAAACAAACAAGAAAAACGATGTTTGTCCAACGAGTCTTGCCCTCTTGCGGACCATTCACGGCAATGCATGTATAGTCAACTGGGCTGTCTCGGACCATCTTGGGTCACATTGACACCATCGTGAGGCCTTGGGACAATATGTGGGCCGTCGAATGGCATGGCACCGATCGGCCCGCGACCGAGAAACCCATTGAACCCCGCGGGAATAAGAGTACAAGCAAAAACTACATGTATTTATGATTCTGGCCATTTTGTGGTCCCGAAAGGAAAAATGGTCTGCCATCTTTGGTCGTCGCCGAAGTCCACAAACTAGCTGGGAACATCCTGGGCAGTCCTGAGGCAATATTGAAGCAATCTTGAGACCATCTGAAGGAGCAGCATGAGGCCTGACACGCATTGACCCGCGCTATTGGGGCGCTAGTGGGGGCTCTTGGCGCTCCATCGCCCAGTCATGGCACGCTTTCGCCCGCTCGTCGGCCCCAGTGAGGTCCGCAAAACTCCCAGGGCCGCCCTCGCGCGCGGACTAGATTCAAATAAGCACTCCTCCTTGCTACCTGTGTGGAGAACTTAACACGCCTGCGGCCCGATGGGAAGCCGAAAGTGAGACTTCTCAGAACCTTCTTAAGCCGCGTTGGAACTCTTTCAGAATCCCACCAGCCCTCTGGGCGTAGGTGGTTCCGGGAGTTTCCTCTTCCAACCTCCTTCATCCCCTTCGGGGAGGGGTTTACCCCTCCCCCTAACCCCCTCCCCTGGACTTGGACGGGGGGGCCGCTGGTAATTAGAGCGTCCAAATCGGCCTCGGCGAAGAAGCCAAAATCATCGGTTTTACTAGGGTTTGGGCCCCATTTTGGCCTCTTGGGGGGGGCAAGGCTAATTAACCCCACCCTCTTCTTTGATCGATCTCCTCCAAGATGGCCCCAAGAGGCGCCCAGGAGGCCCCAAGAGGCTTCCAAAAGGCCTCCAAGAGGCCCCAAGAGGCCGCCATGAGGCCCCAAAAAGCCCCCAAGAGGCTCCAAGAGGCTCCCAGGATGGTTCCAAGAGGCCTCCAAGAGGCTCCAAGAGGCCGCCATGAAGCTCCAAGAGACCCCCAAGAGGCCCCAAGAGGCCTCCAACAGGCCCCCAAGAGCCCCCCAAGAGGATCCCAAGCGGCCTCAAGAGGCCCCCCCGAAGCACCCAAGACGCCCAAGAGCCCCCATTGACCGCCAAGAGACCCCCAAAACGCCCGAAGAGGCTTCCAAAAGGCTTCCAAGAGGCATCCGAGCGGCATTCAACCATCCACCCCGCGTCATCATTCTCCTCATCCCTCCTTCGCTCGGTTCCTCGCCACCCCCTCATCTATCCATCTGGCCTCCTCTTCCGCTTCATCCTTTGCACGGATCGGCTGTCCCTCTCCTTGCTCCCCCACTTCCCTGATCTCTTCAACTCGCCTGGACATTGTTTCTGGATGGGCTGGTGGGGACACGCGACGCGCCAAGAATTTCCAGGGCCGTCCAAAGAGCCGTTTCGGCCAGTTTGGAAGTCGCTTGGGGCTCCTTGGAAGTAGTATTGGGAGTTTCTTGGGAGCAGGGGGGGGGGCGGGAGGAAACCATCGGTCCCCTGAAGGCCATCTTGGAATCCGAAACAAACAACAAAAACGGGGGAAGGAGCCAGGGAAGGGAGGGGGGGGGGGGGGGGGGGGGGGGGGGGGGGGGGGGGGGCGGGAAAAACCTGTTTTCTGATGCGCTTACACACCCAAGTCTCCAGTCATGAATATGCAACAACAGGAAGCCGCGAAGCGCAGAGACCTGCTGAAGTTGCAGCTACGTATGGGGAAAGGGCCAGGACAGAGAGGGAAAAACCCTGGGGCAATGTGAAGAACACCTCGGGATGAAAAACAAGCCTAGCGACAGGGCCGAGACCTTCGGAATCATCACAACGCCGGCGTCTGGGAAAGCGACCCCTCGTGCCCAAAGCATGATTTTTCAATCCAGTTTGACGGGGCTGGTTCTGACGACCGTCGTTGGAACACGACGGGGTTTGCAACCCGGGTTGTTTCTGTTGCAGCTGCCGCTCCCCATCCACCGCTGCCCGGCGAAAATTGGCGCCCAGACCCTGCTAGCGGCCCAGGAAAGCATGAGAAAATTCCGAAGAAAGGGCCTGACTGAAGGAGGGGCAAAGGAGGGCAATTACGAGGGGGAGATGCGTGCGTAGGTCGACGACCGAAAGTCGAACCTACTAGACGGTAAGAGAGAGGGTATCGACCCCTTTTTCCCATGCGCCTCGGACAGGCGGCGCGTCATCTATCACTAGAACCTGAGCCGAAACGCCGGCAGCTATTAAGGGTAGAGTGGCGATACCAGCGGACTTCACACACACACACACACACACACACACACACACACACACACACACACACACACACACACACACACACACACACACACACACGCACACACACCGCCCCCAATCCCGCCCGTTCCGCGCGGGCCTCGGGCCCTCGGGAGACGAAGGCGGGGCTCGGGAACAGAGGTGCGAGGTCCACTCAACACGCCATTACGTTCACTGCAACCTCCAAACGAGGCCGTCTCGGCTAGGAATCAAAGGAAAAGGACCAACCACGTCACACAGGGCACGCGGGGGGTCTACCCGCCTCTAGCGGGCCCAGGGCGCGCCGCCAAAACGCTTCGGCAATCCCGGACGACCCCCCTTCTCCACGGGCGACGAGGTTGGAAGAACATGGTAAAAAAAATTGAAACGATGCCGCGTCCATATCATGGACGCGGGCGTTTCCACCCGGACACAAGGGAACGCGCGCAAAGTGACTCAAAGTCAAAAATATTGCGATCAAAGTTGCGACTGCATCTGATCATAGCATGCGACAAGAAGACTCCATCACTGGGCTCCCCAGGCCCGACAAGGAAACTTGGCATTGACATCAAAGTTGCGACGACAATTGATCGAGCATCTTGCGCGTGATCAAATTTTCATGACAACGGATCAAAGAAACAATGCTAAGACGTCTTGGGCGAGGCACTCCAGGCTCCAAAATTGCGCGAATATCACCAAAAATGTGGTGGGAAAGTGATAACGTTACCAAAGAAAGAGTCGTGGGAACCATGCTTTGCAAATGTCGCACTATGTTTCATGAAGAGAAGGTGAAGTGCATACTTTATAAGATTGGCGACGGGCGACCTGCCTGGGAACTCATGCCCTCGATGTCACAAAGAGAAATCATGCATGAATGGCGGGCGACCTGCCAGAGTGCGCACATGCCCAATATTGCCGTAAGATACCTAACGATAGCCTGTCACATGGACGCCAAAAACATGCGGCACGCATGCCACAAGGAAAGAAAACATAACAATGCCAGATCCTCGATATTCCTACGAACGAAGCCGATTGAACACGTCGTACGAACTATCCCAAATGCGATTGCCATGTTTATCGAACTGCCCGATCGCACGCGTAATGTTTGGGCCAATCCGAATACACTCGCAATCGTTCTCATCGATGTAGATCCATTGGTTCAAATAGCCTGACCTATAAGGGTACGCACTGCCCTCGCAATGAACCAGGCGGCCGCGCCACCATGCTTCAGGGCGGCGCCTCCGCGCGGCACTGCGGCTGCGCTCCGCGCGGATCGGCGCGGCCTTGCTGGTCGTGCACCGCAGTTCCCGCGGCCTCCGCGGCGGTGTCCTCGGCCGCCGCGACGACGCCGCAATCGGCGCGGCAGCTGCAGCGACTCCGCCAGTCCAGCCAGCGCCGCCATGGGGCAGGGCCGCCAGAGGACGCCGCGCCCGAGGAGGGGGCGGCGCCCACGCCGAGCCCATCGCGGCGCGGAGATGGAGGCGCGGGAGGCGGGGCAGGGCGCGAGTCGGCGACAGGAGCAAGCCCCCCACCGACATCCTTACCCCATTTGCCCCGGCGAGCGTCCGCTGTGAGCTGCGCAAGCGCCACGCGGTTCATCGAGTCCGATCCCTGCCCAGAGGGAGTGGATAAGGTCGCGAACTCATTGGCATAGCACAGAGGGAAGCCCATCGCACCAGGGGCCTCAACCCTACGCCCAGCACATCCTTTTTCGCCTTACTTTCGGCATGAAAGGCGCGGCGATCTGCATGTCTTCAAAAGAGTGAAAGGTCGAAAGTTGCGCTCAATCATGAGGCGAGCCACCTGTTCCCAGAAGACAGGGCGCTCTTGGAAGCGAATGACAACGTTCGCATAGGGGTGGTATACATGACCCTCGGCATCCTCTGCATCCACATCGACGCCCGCCATGCGGCACTCCTTGGACAAAGGTGATCCACGCTCAAGCCACTTATCGTACCGACTTCCGGCCTTAGCGGCAAGCCTGCGAAGGAAGTCTCTATCCCTCGCGGCGTCAGACCGCTGGCCTGCACATCTGATGGCAACGTCTCAGCGCGCGATTCGCCCCACAACGTCGCGGTTCATATTGTCGCGGATCCAGCTTTTGACGGCCGCGATAAACGCGACCTGTTCCCCACCGATTTCGCCATGGGCGAAAGCGTTCGCGCACATCCTA